CATCACTGTCCCAGGTTCCCATCTGAAGCCCCCACCTTGTCCCCCACCTCCACTGCCGTCTGCCTGTCAAAGTAAGTTCAATTGTGTAGACGTCTCAGGTTCTGTTATCTTTGGCTATTTGTTATTCACTAACTATGCACCCTTAGATTCCACATCTGAGAGAGATTGTTCTGCATCTGTCTCTCTCTTTCTGTTTGGCTTCACTCAGCATGACACTCTCTATATCCATCCACATAATGGCAAATAACACAATTTTATCTCTTCTTATAGCTGAGTAGTATTCCACTGTATACATATACCATAGTTTTTGTTTTGATTTTGTTTTGTTTGGGTTCTGGGGCCACACCTGAGGTTCACTCCTGTCTCTGCACTCAAGAATCACTCCTGGCACTGCTCAGGGGACCATAACTGGTAAATGACCAAACCTAGGTCAGCAAGCACCTTACTACTTGGACTCTCTCTATAGGTCCTACTAGTTTCTTTATCAGAAAGAAACTTTCTTTATTCAGTCATCTATTCTTGGACACTTGGGTTGCTTCCAGGTTTGGGCTATCGTTGATAGAACTGCAGGAAACATATGAGGGCAAGTGTCTTTTCTGAACAGTTTTTAGACTCCTTGGGGTAGGTGCCCAGAAGCAGAAATGCTGAGTCATGAACTCAGACCCCTATCTCACCCCATGTCTGTCCAGTCTGTCCAAAATTGGATTAAAGGCCTCGATATCTGACAAGAGTCCTATAAAACATGTTGTGTAAAACATAGTCAGAACCCTTAATGAAATTGAATCTAGAGGTTTTTTTCAATGACTCCATGCCATTGGTCAAGCAAATGGAAACAAAAATAAACAAATGGGACTACATCAAATTAAGAAGCTCTGTACCACCAAAGAAATAGTGACCAGAATAAAAGACACCCCACAGACTGGGGGAGAATATTTTCCCACACACATCTGACAAAGGGTTAATATCAGAGTTACATAAATCACTCGTAAAACAATAGAACCAACCCCATCAAAAACTGGGGAGAAGAGATAAATAGAAACTTCCGCAAAGAAAACATACAGACGGCCAACAAGTATATGAAAAAATGCTCTGCATCAGTTATCATCAGGGAAATGCAAATAGAAACAGCAATGAGATACCATCGCACCAGTGAGACTGATACACATCACAAGGAACAAAAACAATCTGTGTTGGCAGGGGTGTGTGGGGAAAGGAACGCTTATCTGCTGCTGGTGGAAATGTCTACAGGTTCAACGAATTTGGAAAACCATCTGGATACTCCTCGAAAAGCTTGACCTTTGTTTGTTTGTTTGTTTGTTTTGGTTTGGGGGCCACTTCCAGCCACTTTCAGCACACATCTCCCATCCGGAACTATCTCTCCAACCATCATTGACTTCATGATCCTTTCTCTATACCAGTTGCCATCTCCCTTAGCTCATGAGGCAGGCTGCCAACCAAGGAGCAATGTTCCTGGCCCTGTCTTTACTGTCCTTGGGTGTCAGTACATATTATGTTATTTTATATTCCACAAATGAGTGCAGTCCTTCTGTGTCTGTCCCTCTCTTTCTGACTCATCTCACTTAGCATGATACTCTCCATGGCCACCAGGAATCACTCTTGGCGGTACGCAGGGGTCCAGGAGAAATGCTGGGGGTTGAGCCAAGGTTGGCCACATGCAAGGCGAGCACCTTACCCGCTGTACTATCTCTCCGGCCCCAGAGACTTCTCTCTATACTCTTCCAATAATAAAGCAGTTTCTGTTGACCTGAGGAATCCTTGAAGCCTCTTCCTACTCACACAGAATCACACCTTCACTTTGAGCTTCTCTTGGCAAACCATGCTGCCCAGTGAACTCAATTCCTATCCAAACTCCTGCCACCCCTCAAAGGCTTGTCAGATGAAACATCTCTTCCATGCTCACATATCTGTGGCAACGAGTCTGATAAATCTTACAGTCCCCAGAGGCTTCAATCTGAAAGCGATTGAAATACAGGCCTGTATTATTATTATATTAGTCTTTTCTTTCTGCTGAGACCACTCTCCCCACACCTGAAGGTACCGGCAGAAGAACAAAGACAAGCAGGTCCCGGGGCTAAGATCTCCAAGCCTACTCGGATCGGGGCTGAGCATCCTCCACCCAGATCCTCCAAATTCCAGTAGGCGGGGATCACACCCACCAACTGGCTCCCTGGTGCCGTGTAATCCCATCAACGGCCAAGACTCAGAGACTATAAAAACCAGCTCCTGGAAGAGAACAGTGCAGTCTCCTGCCCCCGCACCTGGCTGTCCTCACCGGGGCCCCTTGGAGGGGAGCGGGTTGAGCTTTCCTCCCCGCCCCGACCAGGGTTCTGACAGCCGAAGACCTCCAGGACCAGCCACCACCATGCTGAGACCACTTTCCGCACACCTGAAGGTACCGGCAGAGGAACAAAGGCAAGCGGGTCCTGGAGCTAAGATCTCCAAGCCTACTCGGATCGGGGCTGAGCATCCTCCACCCAGATCCTCCGAATTCCAGTAGGCAGGGGTCACACCCACCAACTGGCCCCCTGGCACCATGTAATCCCATCAATGGCCAAGACTCAGAGACTATAAAACCCAGCTCTCTGAACTGCAGCCACGCAACATCTTATTATGACATCTTATTATCTCATTCCTACTTTGGACAAACTGACAGGCTACCGAATGTAACCTGCCCACACAGCAGAGTCTGACAAACACCCTCCTCACTGTACTATCTCCCTGGCCCAGGTCCTGTATTCTTTTCCTCACTACTCTTCACCTCTCTATGATCCTATACATGAATCGACTTTGTTTGGACTGTTGTAACTGAAATGCGTTATCTGACACAAATAGTTGCACACAATGCAGAATTTCAGGATGGAAAGACAGACTATGGATTACTCATTTTCACAGACTTCTCAGGCTCACCCACATGTCACCTAAGATACATTCTGGTCATTAATAAATAAAATTGTTCCCACTCAACATCATGGAATAGGAAAATTGTTGTGGGTCTCCCTTACCACCAGAAGTGATGACTCTAGGGTATTTGGTTGTCTTTTGTCAGCACTGGATTCTTGGAGCAACAAATGCTATTTGTGACTCAGTGAATCAATGATTTATAAATGAATCCAGAAAATAGTCAGGTCAGTGGAACATTTTATATGCAAAACTATAATCTACCCACTGAAAAACCTAGTGGCTGTTTTCCCAGTTTCTTGACTTTATTTTTCAAAAGCAAACTTTGGTTTGGTTCCTGACCTTGGTTCCTGACAAAGAAATGGACATGTTATTCATGCAATAACATAATTTCTCAAGTGTTGACTGTCAATCTCTAGAGGAAAAAATTGCTAAAGTAACAGAGAAAAATTTAGCATCTCTAGGGTGATCAGCCTGTTTTAAGAAATACTATTTTAATATACAGATAAAAAAATGAGTAAGAGAGTGAAAAGAAAAATAATTTACATTTAGGAACTAACCAGAAGTGAAGCTGAACAATGTTTTAATAAAATCCTGTGCTGCTAACAAGGTCATTTAAAAATAATTTCCTTCAGAATAGCAAAGTTTCTATTACATGTGAAAGAATGAAATTGAAAGAGGTAAAAGTCACAAAGCCATAATTTGCTCCTAATTATTTCAGAAATTTAATTTGCTTTTGTGTGCTTCAACTCTCTCCCCAAAGTCTGAATTAAGCAGTTATTAAAATTAGTTTGACTTTCCTGAATCCTCACCACGTGCTGTGTATTGTGTATTGTGAAGTGTTAATCTAATTAATGTTTTAATTATTAATGTATTAAAATAAAGGTATAAGTGTTAATCTAATTGATATAATGTTAATATCACTTAGGTAATCTATTTGTGAAAATTAATGTGAACAATTGCTGCAAATTACCCATTGTAATTAAAGGTATACATATCTCCCTACCTGTTCCAAACCCCTCCAAGTGGAAAAGTATTCATGTATATGAAAAGAAAACTATATAGAAAATATAGAAAATTGGGAAACTATATTCCACAGCAGCAAGAATATTCTCAAATCTGAATTCGAAGGGTCTGGAAGAAATCACTGAAATACTGGTTCTTCACTGCATTTGTGTCTACGGTCTATTTTCAGAGCTCAAAGCAGCTTGAGTGAAATTTATCCTGCCTGTTTCCCTTGAAGCAGTGAGGGGAGCCCCCATTTAGTAGTGCTTGGGGCCACGTGGTACCCGGGATCTAACCTTGCAGCTCCAACATGCAAGGCACACACGCCTGCCCTTTGCATCACCACCTGCCACTATTCTTCTTTGCCAGTTTTCTGACTCATAAAGAACAAATTTTTTCCTTCCGAAAATTTTTCCTTTTGACCCAGTCCACAAATTTACAATAATAAAACTTTTTTTTTAAAAAAAGAAGTCACTTCATAAGAATTCTTCTTCTACCTAAGATGCCTTAACTAAACGGATAGGGACCAGCCAGATCCCCAGAACGCTGGTTGTTGGTACGGATAAACAGCTGAAAGGCTGGTGTGTTTTCTGCGATGGCTGCCAAGAACCAGACATCCATGATTAATGTTTATTAGTGAAATTTTTTTTAAGATTCCTCTCCACTTTCCTTTTGGCTTAAAGGAGGTTTAGGCTGAGTTAATGGGTACAATGACATTAAAAACACCTCCGAATCACAAATGTCAGGAAAGGTGCATTCATTGTTAATTTTGTCTTCTATTAGTTTTATTATCTTTTTTGTATTTACTTTACTTTACTTGTATTTTATTATTACCTTTTAAATTATTTTATGAATTACTATATTTTTACCTAATATAACTGTGGCTTACACACAATTATATTAGACCCATTTCTTTAAATGTGTGTGAATGAATTATATATAGCAGCTCATACTTGATGCAACTACATATAATGAAAGAAAATATACATATATTTTATATATTATATATGTATATATGTATTTGTATAAATTATGTGTAATATACATGTATTTATATCATCTGATGATCTCCTTACCTTTTCAAGTATCGCATTGCCTTGGTGAGGACTGATGTTGTGTTGACTTATTTCTCTTTTGTATTTATATTCGTAAACTTGGTCAGTGATATTAACCAGCAGAGTTGATGGACTGAAGGTCAGTTTTCCACAATCATAAACAGTTCCACTTTCAATATCAGTTGGTGCTGTGGCATAACGTAAGATCAATCCCATTATAAGTCCTAAAGGAAAGAAAACATAATTTCAGGGAATAAAGGCAATATTCCCGATTGGATTTTCTAAATATATAACCAAAATTTGTAGAAATTACCGGCCTCAAGAAATTATCCATTTTATCCATGCTAGTTCAAAATATTGCACTGTTGAAATTTTTGTGGAGGACACCAAATACTTAAATATTTACATATATTCTTTCTTTTCTTCCTAATGGGCCCACAAATTATGGAGATAAGAATTACCCACTTTGGGTCTGGAGCAATAGCACAGCGGGTAGGGCGTTTGCCTTGCACATAGCCGACCCGGGTTCAATCCCCAGCATCCCATATGGTCCCCCGAGCACTGCCAGGAGTAATTCCTGAGTGCGGAGCCAGGAGTAACCTCTGAGCATCGCTGGGTGTTACCCAAAAAGCAAAAAAAAATTACCTACTTTTTCTATTCATACAAATGCTTCTAGAAAACACGTGATCTGTGATATACTAAGTAATCTATCACTTCTTAGATGGTTACTTAGATAACTAACCAATCAGAAAAAAAATGGAATTCCCCTTAAAAATGCCTGTGGCGCAAACCAGAAAATAGCTGAATTAGCCCTTTCAAGAGAAAGCTCTGCTCTACCTCACCGGGGCAAAGGCGCACATTCCTTCCTCTCCCTCCTGACGTGACCAGGCAGGATGTTTCTGGCCCAGATCTCATGATGCTGAGGGAATCAAGTGTGGGGACACAGTCAATCTACAGAGCACCTGACCCTCCCAGTATCTGGTTCTCAAAGGACAAGAGTCACACGCTGGACAGAAGGGTCTTTGTCTCCTCTCATTTTCTCCCAGTTCCTTCCAGCTCTTTCCAGAAGCAGTGCTGAGTCTTCCAGGCCCCAGGGTGGGGAGGAGGCAAGCTCTTGGCCAAGTCGGGAGATCCAGAAGAGCCCTTAGCCTCCCCAGGCACCTGGTAAGTGAACCACATGCCTATTTACATGCCACTTGACTGTCGTGGGTAAAGCCTCCGTGAGTGGAGACTAAACCCGACCCATCAGGCCCCAGAGCCTGGCAACCAGACACCCACCCTGGCCTTCATCATGACATTCACTGAGCTGTTAAACAAGGTGAAGCCATGCCTGACACAATGGCGTGAATTCTAACTCACTGAAATGAGTCAGAAAGTGAAAAGCAGAACCGAGTGGTTTAAAAAAAAAAAAACCCAAAGCCAATCAACAGGCAAGACACAAGAAAAACCACTTTTAGAGTCTATGGCAAACATGGAGATTCTGAAAGGGGAAGAAATGGGGGTGGGAGCACTGGACAGAGGGGTCATTTGGTCAGTGGGCAGGCTCGCATGCCTTGGTGGTGGCTGTGGTCAGTCTTGTACATAAACCCGGGATGGAGTTGGACTCCCCACTTTACAGTATTGAAAACTAATGGGACACCAATAGAATTTTATTTTAGAAAGTACAAAGGTTGGAGAGATAACATAGAGGTTAAGTCATTTGCCTCTCCTCCTACCAACTCTGGTTCAAATCCCTGGCATCACATATGAAGCATTTATTCTGGGTTCTACATGTCCATAAAGCTCATTTCCAGACCCACTTGTGGACACCACGCTGTGGATCTGTGCCGAGGCTTTATTCACGGAACTCTCCTCACGTTCCCACAGCTCAAACCAGACACTGTGTGGCCCAGTTTGATAAGGATCTCCAGTGTTCAGCTGGCCCTGAAGACTTGGCTTTGGTTTCCCTGCTAGACAATGAGCTCATTTAGGGCAGAGTCCCTGCTTCTCTTTTCCTCAAAGCTAAACACGCCAAGAATTGGAACCCAGCTTTTGTTCAGCCCACAAACTCCCATGAAGTCAAAAAGAGGTGGACCTTTGGGTTTATGCAGCAGCTAAAGACCTGAGTTTGGGAGAGTCCCAGGTAAAGAGCATCACCTCGAAGCTCGTGATGTTGCTGTATTCACGGAGCTTGCAGGACAAGCCTGGCATGCAGGTGACACCGTGGTGTACCTGGGAGGAGGAAAGAACCCAGGAACACCCAACAGGAGAGGCATTCAGGGATGTGAGCCTTCGCTCTGGGGACTGACTCTCACTTTACTCACATGAAAAATGTCAAGAACTCCACTCTCTCCCTCCCTCCCCCTTCCCCTATCACTTGGCTTTTATACCACAGATGCACCACACAAAGCTCTAGGACTTGTGGGAGTTTTAAAAATGAACAGATACATTCCTGACCCTGAGTATCAAAAGAGCTAATCACCCCAGACCTTTACCTCCTGCCCTGCTCTGTGATGCTGACCCCAGTAAGAAATAAGACGCAGGAGTATTTCCTGAGTCTATTCTCATATTAGCCTGCACTGCATAACTGGTTCCCTTGCATCTTACTATCACTCATTCTGAGGGAGGCTGAAGAATTTCCTGAAAGGGGAATTTCTGAGATAACTGTTTGTACGGGAATACACACACACACACACACACACACACACACACACACACACATAATATATATATATATATATATATATATATATATATATCACGGTCACGGTCCTCCCATTGTTCATTGATTTGCTCGAGTGGGCCCAGTAACATCTCCATCGTGAGACTTGTTGTTACTGTGTTTGGCATATCGAATATGTCATGGGTAGCTTGCCAGGCTCTGCTGTGCGGGTGAGATACTTTCGGTAGCTTGCCAGGCTCTCCGAGAGGGGCAGAGGAATCGAACTCGGGTTGGCCATGTTGGCTGTGTGCAAGGCAAACGCCCTACTGCTGTGCTATCACTCCAGCCCATGTATATATATGACTTGAGCACTAAGAGTATTTGTTGTGTTTTCATGACCAAATGATGTTCAGAGAAGAGCAGTTGTCAGAGATGGTTGATTTCGTATCCTGTTCTATTTACCATATATACATTCACATATAATATATTATAAACAATATACATATAATGGGCTGGAGCGATAGCACAGCGGTAGGGCATTTGCCTTGCACGCAGCCAACAAGGCCAACCCGAGTTCGATTCCTCCGCCCCTCTCGGAGAGCCCAGCAAGCTACCGAGAGTATCTTGCCCACACGGCAGAGCCTGGCAAGCTACCCGTGATGTATTCAATGTGCCAAACACAGTAGCAACAAAGTCTCCAATGGAGATGTTACTGGGCCCACTTGAGCAAATCGATGAACAACGGGAGGACAGTGATAAATATAATGTGTAACAGCTGAAGACCTCCGGGCCCCAGCCAAGGCCATGCTGGGACCACTCTCCACACACATGGATGAGCTTCACGCATAAAAGAACTGGCAGAGGAACCCAGGTGTGTGGGACCCGGGGCTGAGATCTCCAAGCCTGCACGGTTTGGAACTGGACCTGCCAGTAGCTAGACAGTTACACCCACCAACTGCCGTGTAACCCCAACAACGGCCAGAATCCAGAGATTATCACACTCAGCTCCCGGAAGCGCGCGGCTGCATTTGCGGCCGTGTGACATCTTATCATCTCATTCCTACTTTGGACAAACTGGCAGGCTACCGAATGTAACCTGCCCACACAGCAGAGTCTGGCAAACTCCCCGTGGCATACTCAATATGCCAAATACCAGTAACAATGAAAGGTCTCATTCTCCTAACTCTGAAAGAGCCTTGAATATGGCATTTTTCTTAAAAATCTCAGGGCTAGGACGAAGGAGACGTTACTGGGGCCTGCTCGTGGCAATCGATGAATAACAGAATAACATCTATATTGTATATATAATATACGATTATGGACTGGAGCGATAGCACAGCAGGTAGGGCGTTTCCCTTGCGTGCAGCCAACCCAGGTTCAATTCCTCTGTCCCTCTTGGAGAGCCCGGCAAGCTACCTTGAGTATCCCGCCTGCATGGCAGAGCCTGTCTAACACCCTGTGACATATTCAATATGCCAAACACAGTAACAACAAGCCTCACAATGGAGACGTTACTGGAGCCCACTTGAGCAAATCAATGAACAACAGAAGGACAGTGATATAATGCTACAAGATAAGATTATAGGATAACATTGGTTTGTTCCTTCTGCCTTGCCACAGGGAGCTTAGGTTTATTGGGTTACTCCCATCACAGTGCTCCCATTCCTCTGTTTATTTGTAACCTCTTTCTTTGTGCTCTGCTTCCCCAACTGGTCAATCACCTTTATCTCCTAATCAGACTCTGTTAACTTTTAAATATTGCTTTTCTCCGTTCCTTAGTCCTATAATTTAATTAACACCTTAATTCTATTTCTTGGGCTGGAGCAATGGCACAGTGGTAGGGTGTTTGCCTTGCACGTGACAGGCCTGGCTGAGCCGGGTTCGATTCCTCCACCCCTCTCGGAGAGCCCGGCAAGCTACCGAGAGTATCTCGCCCGCACAGCAGAGCCTGGCAAGCTACCCATGACGTATTCAGATATGCCAAACACAGTAACAACAAGTCTCACAACAGAGACGTTACTGAAGCCCACTCGAGCAAATCAATGAACAACAGGAGGACAGTGCAGTGCAATTCTATTTCTTAATATTAGTCATTTTGTATAGACACAGTAAGAGATACATTAAGCTTGTTGGGCAGCTCTCCTGGGGCCATCTTGCTATAGATCCCAGACTACAGTGTTCAGGCCAGATTAATCTTTCCTAACCCTAGCAAGGTCCTAATCTAGTTGTTACTTTTTGGATCATGACAGAATTTATCCACGACCATACTCTTAACTTATAGTTTAGTATTATGGTGATTTGACCTGGCCCATTTCGATGCCAGGGTAGCTCACAGCTTGCCCTGGGACCATTCAGTCCCCCATCAAAACCCTGGTTTTGGAGTGCTAGGAAATAAGGGCAACTGAGGCTTCAGTCAAGAGAACAGATGCCCGGGGTGAATATCATTCAGAGTCAATTAACTCCCAAGTTACAAAAGCATAGCATTAACTCTCTTCCCGTGTCTATACAAAAAGGACATTGCTCTGAATTAACTAGGCAAAGGACTTAAGGAGAAGAGAAAAGCAATCTTTACAAGTTAACAGA